CACCCTCTTCGTCTCCGAAAGACTGATGACTAAGTTTCTAATTGGGCCCTTATTACAACTTGAAATAAAACCAAACTAAAGCTATTAATTGATTAATCCAAAACACAATTTGGTCAACCAACAATACTTGTTGAAGAGCTTCCTTGACTTCCCTTACTCTAGCCCTTGTCATAGGTCATGTCCACATCATTCTCTCCCTCTTAAAAAGGATTTGTCCTCAAATTGGATTCGTCATCTACATAAAAAAAGAGATAAGTCTGACAAATTGAATGTAGAACTAATATTATACTTACTTTTTGTGGCTAAATAGCTCTCTCTCACTTCAAGTGTTTCACTCTTCTTTTGATCACTCTTTTTCTTCTCAAGTGTTTCACTAACACTTTCTTTTTCTCTCTTCTCTTGAAGAAGTTTTTCTCTCATTTTCTTTTTATCCTTACACACTTCTTGTGGACTCAAAGGTTTGAGCACAATCTTCTTGTCTTGGTGCATGAAAGAGATCTTGTTGTTGAACCCGTTATGATTGACTCTTTTATCAAATTGCCACAGTCTCCTCAAAAGTAAGTGGCTAGCCTCCATAGGAACAACATCACAAAGCACCTTAACATTGTATTTTCCAATGGAAATATCCACTTCAACTTGTTGTCTCACTTGCACCTCTCAATCTTTACTAAGCCATTGAAGTTTATAAGGCTTAAGATGTGGTTTAGTAGGTAAATTTAGCTTTGACACTAATCTAGCACTAGCCACATTGGTGCAACTACCTCCATCTATGATCATCATGCACACCTTGTCATTGATTAAGCATCTAGTGTGGAAAATATTTTTTCTTTGGCTTTTTTCCATAGGCTTCAATTGGCCATCAAGTAATCGCCTAATCATCAATAAATCTCCCTTTGGAATCTCCTCCTCCTCTTCAACCTCAGATTCACTTATATATTCTCCCTCTCTAAGAACCATAGACCTTTTGTTAGGGCACTCACAAGCATTGTGTCCTAGGCCTTGACATTTGAAACACTTCACATCTCTACTTCTTTTAGAGGGTTGTTCTTCAAACTTTGAAGGAGTCTTTGTAAGAATAGGTGTGGAACTACTAGAAGTAACAACCCCATCTTTCTTGCATTTATCTTTCCAACTTGAAGATCCAAAGTTGGTAGAACCTTTCTCATCCACTTCTTTTCTTTTCTTTTCTTTTGAGTTGTTGCTCCACTCGAATTTCTTTATGAAGTAAATCTTCCATATCAACAAACTCCTGCAACTCAATAATATCACGTATATCAATATTCAAACCACCAATAAATCGGGTCATAGTTACATCTTCATCTTCTTCAATCTTTGCTTGAATCATGAGCATGTCCATTTTCTTGAAATACTCGTCAACCCTCTGGTTGTCTTGAGTAAGTTTTTGGAGTTTAAATTTCAAGTCCCTTGAATAACTAGCTGACACATATCGCTTCATCATGATCCTTTTCATCTCAGTCCATGTATCAACCATTGACTCTTCATTTCTATCTCTCTCCTTTTGTAGTTTGTTCCATCAAACAAGAGCATAGTCATAAAATTCTGTGATTGCAAGCCTCACCTTTTGGGTCTCCTCATAATTGTTGAATGAGAAAACATGCTCTATTTTCATCTCCCACTCCAAGTATGCCTCCGGATCACTTTTTCTTTGAACGGAGGAATGCTAAGCTTGACTCTTTCAAGCCTACTTGGTCTTGCTACTCCATCATTCCTTCTCTTATTTCTCCTTTCTTCTTCATCTACGGGATCTCTATTCTCCAACCGGTTCAATCTTTCATGGAGCTCATTGTTATGTCGTATCATTAATCCTTCTAAATGTTGTACCAATGTCCTCATTTGAAATGGACTAATTCCTGCTTCTTGATTGTAATTTTTCTTCTCTGCCATCAATTTGATGTTCAAACCCTTAAACCGGGGCTCTGAATACCAACTGATATGAATCTCAATAGCACAAGGGATGATTTAGGATCTTTAGGGTTAGAATCTTGTAGGAAATTTAAGAATTTAGTGATAAGGTGGAAGGAAAGAATCACTCTTCCCAAGGGAGGCAACTCACAAAGGATGTGAAAGTCCTTTGATACAACCAAGTGTTCTTGAATCACTCAAGAATTTAGGAGAATCACTCTCACCAAGATAAAAGAGCTAAACTCTAATATTTTTTTAAATAAAATTCAACTTGTTATATTTGATAAAAATATAGTTCAACCTATATAGAAGCTTTGTCATTAGAATTACAAATATTCAATAAAGGAAAATAAATGCTAATAATAATCCATTAACCTAAGAATTGATACTACTTAATGAATGATTATAATTGAAATTGTGACAATCAAAAGTTAATCAGCTATGCACCCTCTTAGTCTCCCAAAGACTGATGACTAAGTTTTCAATTAGACCCTTATTACAACTTACAATAAAACCAAACTAAAGCCTATTAATTGATTAATTTAAAACACAATTTGGTGAACCAACAATACTTGTTGAAGAGCTTCCTTGACTTCCCTTATTCTAGCCTTTGTCATAAGTCATGTGCACGTCACATCATATTCTCATATACTTTTATAATTTTAGATTTAATTGTTAAATTTCTTTTTAAGATTAATTTTTCTTTAATAAAATTAAGTTGCATAATAAAGTAATAGATAACATTGTATTTATCACTTTATTTTATTTGATGGTGTTGTTTTTATTTTTCTTAGAAAATTAATAAAGTGAATTTAGTTCAAGTTGTTGATAAAAATATTTTACATAACTGAAAAAAATTACATAGTTACAAGATTAGTGATTAGGTAAGAAGTTAATGGACAATTTATCAATTTACATTAAATACAATTTGGAAAAATAAATTTTTAGCGTTTGTTCATACTTAATTTTTATGAAATGACCCATTGGCAAATAAGTATAAAATTAATAATACATTCAAAATAGTTATTATAATATATAAGGAAGTCTTTTAAAAACTATGTTGTTAGTTAAGGAAGTCTTTTAAAAACTATGTTGTTAGTTAAAAATATAATAATTTATTTTTAAATTTATAGCTTTTATTTATTTGTTGTAATTTAATTTCAACAAAAATAATGATATAATTTATTATGTTTGTAATAAACTAATTATCACTATCAGAATTAGAATATTATAAACATAATATTCATTTTAAGTTACATTTCTCATGTAATTTATTATTTTTTCTCTTTACAATAAATATAATTAAAGAAATAAAGGTATAATTGATAATGAAGTAATTAATTCTTAAGCTTTACAAACATATATTTAGAATGGTGTGGTTAACATGTGTCGTTGACCACGAGATAAAAATATTAATTATTCTTTATTTTCTTAGTTTATTTATTTAATTTTCCTCTCTTAATTATTTTTATTATTTTACTTACTTATTTTTTTCTTTCTTATAATTTTTACCTACTTATAATTTCATATATTTAAAAATAAAAATTAATTAAGAGAATTTAAACAAAATAAAATATAATAATATTGAGTGTTTAATAACTCTATGATGAAATTTTTTTTTCTAAAAGAAACAAGACTTGTTTGATGACAGTTTTATGAAAATAACTTTCGAAACCTATTTTTGTTTTAAAAGCTAAAATATAAAAATGATAAAATGTATTTTCTATTTTTACTTTTATTAATGATAGACATATATTAATTAATACATATAATATATGGTATGTCTTTTTTATCATATGAAGTTATCAAAAATCGTTTTATTAATTTTTATTGTTATTTTTCATTGATTTCATGTCATTCTCTTTCACCTCAGAAAGTTTTCATCATAGAGTTATTAAACAGATATTTTTTTAATTTATTTTCAAAAATAGTTTTTAAAATTAATTTTAAAAACTGAAAAATAAAATTAAATCAAACAGGTTATTATTCAATTTTAAATTCTGATTTGTAACAATTGTTTTACTGTGCGCTAGTTTCATAACACTGAGTTTGGATATTGACAAAGATGAATTAAGGTTCAAGATTTTAGAAAGAAAATACATGTTGTATAATTTTAGAAAAACTGTAGTTTTTATTAAGTAAATATTGAATAATTATTATTTTTTTTGTTTATAGTCTTTTTTAACCATAATAAAACATTATTTTTTATGAAATTAAACTGTTTTTATTCTTATATTATTAAAACTCGATTATTATTTGTATTAAGTAATAACATTTTTTTTTCTCAATAAAAACTCATGTACGGGACTATCAACTAATCATAATTATAATTACAGGTGAGAATTTGGCTATTTTATTATACGATTTTTAAAACCAATCTACGATCAAATTTGTATGATAAAACATAATTATCAAACTTTTCATATGTTCAAAAACTAAATCAAAATTTTAGTTTTTCTTAGACTAAATGATTACCCACATCTTAGTGTTCAATAATAAAATGGTAATTTAGCTACTATTAAAAACACATTGTCTTATCACATGCTACATACTTGATTGAGTGTATCTCTATGTACAGGGCAAGGATTGTGCTAAAATTTCCCCACTTTGAAGCTGTCATAGTCTCTTAAGAACAAACGACTCACCTAACCTACCTCCCCATTCACCGACCACAAACGCGCCTCTATAAATCCTTCTCGTACAAAATCCCATTAAACCTCGTACCGCTTTAACTGTCATCATTTCCTCCAACCCAAACAAAACCTTCAAACAAACCCAGGTTTGTTCGACGGTGAAACACCGTGCCAGCGTTCCCAAGTTCGTTGCGTTGCTTGAGATTACACGTGACGTGGCATTCCCACATTGGTCCGTCACGTGACGAGCACCTTCCCAGTGGCCTCAACCCAATCCACATGACTCAACCCACACCACACCATACAACAAAAATAATAATACTCTTTAGTCTACATTCTTTGCTCAATGTTCCTTCCTCTCAAAATTCTCAATAATAATAATAATATTATTATTATTAGAAACAATTTGTTCCAATTACTAATTAGTAACAGTTTAAGGTCACAATGAAAAACGGTGTTGGGCAAGAATCCGGTGTGCTCCTCGATGTGGCTTCCCACGTCAATCGCTTCGCCTTCGATCATTTCCGCACCGACGGCGCTGTTCTCTCCAATTTCCTGCGCTTCAATGCCGGAGCGGGAGCGAAGCGCGGCGTTTCGCTGAAGTTGGGGGCGGCGGGAGTTAGGGTCAGGAATGTTTTGAGCGAGTTTAACAGAGCCGTTAGGTTTCACTGCGAGAAGATCCCGATTGGGTTCGCCTCGGTGCGCGTAGCGGACGGCGACACTGGTGGTGGTGGTGGTGGTGGCTGTGACGGTAACGGGAGTGGGGTTAGAGTGGATGAGTATGGCGGGGTGGAGAACGAGGGGCTTCGCGGGAATGGCGTGGAGGGCGAGAGGCCCAAAAAAGTTTTGATTTTGATGAGTGACACTGGTGGGGGGCATCGAGCTTCCGCTGAAGCTATCAAGTCTGCTTTCTATGAAGAATTTGGAGATGATTATCAGGTTTGGTTTGCTATTATTGTTTTTCCTTTTTCGTTGGAATGGGGATAATAGGAGATGTTTCTTTTTTTACTAAAAAAAGCAGGGAAAATGGTGATGATTGTTTTAATTATTAAAAATCTTATTGAGATAAGGTAGAAAGAGTTTATATAAGTATCACTGAGCTCATGGATCAATTGGTTTCAGATTGTTTCCACTTATTTAGTAGTTGTGAATTTTAGTCCTGGCTATACAACTCATTTAAATACTTGAAAGAGAAGAGAACTTTGTGGCTTATAATGATTCTACCTTGTTCTAGTAAGATTGTGCTGCGTAAAGTATACATATGATTTTGCACAAAAGAAGAGTTAACATGAGGTCTATGTCATTTTTATAGGCTCAAATAAGCTGTCTAGAAGTATTTCCTAACAGCCGCAATTGTAAGTTAATGGTGATAAGTTTAGGATTGAGTTGGACAGTGATGAGAATTTATAACAAGTGCTTATATGATTACCATACACGCGTATCAACATTGAGGTTGTTCGCCCTTAACCAGTGATCTCAATTTGAACTCTGGGTATGCCATTGCTTCAAATACTCGTGGAAAGAGAGTTTTGCTGCTCACAGTGATTCTACTTTACTTAAGCAAGACTTTCTTCCTTGGGGAATACCTGGGGTTTCCCGCAGACAGAAAAAAGAGTTTATTAGTTATGTCATTTTCATAAGCCCAAACAAGTTGTCTAGAAGCTCTTCCAAACACCCCCTAATTGAAAGTTAATGATGATAATTTAGGAATTGTTGCTTGTTTAAGGTGATGTGGAGTTACAGTGAATCACATGTATGGATGCGTGGATGTAAGTGTTTTTTTTTTGTTGGATTGTGTTCTCAGTTTGGGGTTCATGATACAGGTTTTTGTTACTGATTTGTGGGCTGATCACACACCTTGGCCATTCAACCAACTTCCCAGAAGCTATAGCTTTTTGGTGAAACATGGGCCATTGTGGAAGATGACTTACTATGGAACTGCTCCACGTTTAGTGCACCAGTCTAATTTTGCTGCAACTGGAACTTTCATAGCTCGGTGAGCATTGGGTTGCCTTCATGCAACAGCTCCTACTCTTTTTTCTTGACTAATTACTTTGATGAGTGAGTAAACCAATGCATTCATTGCACATAGTTGATTGGTATGCAAAATGATGCACATGTGATACTCCATGGTATAGCATTCTTCCTGTCTTTCTAGTTGGAAGTTCTCTTTTGATCATTAAAAGTATAAGTTATTTTAGAATAGTTTCATTATTTTTATGGATTGGTTTTTGTATTTGTGGGAATAAATTGTATGCTTATATTTGATTTCTTTATTTATGTTTCTATATATACTTGGGTTAAAGCATAATTTTAAATTTCCTGATTCTTTTATATAAAAGGATAGCATGGCAATTTGGCAATATTTCAGAGTGGTTTTAATTTGGTATTCATGTTCTACAAATGATATTCTGTAATCTGGATAGATTGACCTCTGGTTGCTGCTTGCAATGTTCATTGTGCATTGTGTTAATATGAGATAGAAGTTATTGACTTGGCTGCATTCCTTGTTTCACAATATATTTTCTTGTGCATATACAGTATTACATCCACTAATGCCCTTTGTATCTTATGTCAAATACCGTGTAACATCACATGTCATAGCTAAACCTTCCATTCTCTTTTTACAGTGAGGTTGCTAAAGGTCTAATGAAATATCAGCCAGATATAATAATCAGTGTGCATCCACTGATGCAGCATGTTCCACTTCGAATTTTGAGATCAAAGGGTCTTTTAACGAAGATTGTTTTTACTACAGTTATCACGGATTTAAGCACATGCCACCCAACATGGTTAGTTCTATTCTTTTATTATTTCCTTATAAAAAAATCATAAGAATATTATTTTGACATCTTATTTCTTGTTTTCTTTAGGTTTCATAAGCTTGTAACTAGATGCTATTGTCCTACAACAGATGTTGCGCAAAGGGCATTGAAAGCAGGATTGCAGCAATCTCAGATAAAGATTTTTGGTCTACCTGTCAGGCCTTCCTTTGTTAAGCCTGTCCGGCCAAAGGTATGTCATATTCTTACAGCCATTACTTGAATTATTAGTAAGTTTACTAACAATTCTTGAATTCGAACTAGGAATGATGAGCTAGATATACTATTACCAGATGAATGCCACTGGATTGTTTGAAATTCTGTGATAGCATAATAATAGTAGTAATTTATATTAAGTTTTCAAGTTATTGCAATTAAGTTATTGACATTTCCATGTCATCAGTGCTGCACACTTTTGCTAATGGTTGCCTGTAAGTTTTTCCCTTGGATTTTTTCCGAGTAATCATCAAATGTGAAATAGTATAATACTAAAATTAACAGCTTTGGTGTTTTGTATGGGTTCTGATTCCATGACTGCAGGCTGTGGTCAAGTATTGTAATTTTTTTTACTAGTGTACATCATAACAGCCATACTAATCGATGCATATGCAGGAATGTATTATATATACTTAAATTGTACAAACTTGGATCTGAACTGTTATTTCTTTTCATCAAACATAACATTCTATACTGTATGTTCAAATGGTCTCTGGTTTCAGTGAACTGCTTGTTGAAGTGTGCATGTTTAAAATTAGGCTAGTAACAATAACCTATGAGGTTAAGGCTAATTTTGTGAACAGTCTTTTTGTTTTTGAAATGACACTTACCTCCTACATATGCTTCTGTTCTATTTCCATTGTCTATTTGAGATATTAAACCTACCTCCCCTACTTTTATGGAAGCTCTACATGAAGTCTTCTAAACAATATCAAAGCAATAGGTGGAATTGATCAAAATGGAAGGGTGTAGATGTAAAACCTTATAAGAACTAACCCAATAAAAGGTTGAGATAATTACACCCCCTTTAAAGTATAAGTCACAAGGAATGCTATATCACTGTCATGTTTTTTGTATTTGATTTTCTTAGTTGCATCAGGTAGTAATGACTTCGTTGGGCTTCTCTGCTTTATGTTGTAGGATGAACTAAGGAGAGAACTAGGGATGGATGAGGATCTTCCGGCTGTATTATTGATGGGGGGAGGTGAAGGTATGGGTCCCATTGAGGCTACTGCTCGGGCACTGGGAGATTCATTATATGATGAGAATGTTGGGGCCCCTGTAGGTCAGATCCTAGTGATCTGTGGACGGAATAAAAAACTTTTTAACAAACTGAGTTCTATTGATTGGAAGGTTCCTGTGCAGGTATTGTTACCCTTAAAATATTTCCAGAACCTAGATACAAAATGTTTGTCAGTGTTATTGTACTCTCGCATTGTTCTTGTTTCCTGCATAGGCTTAAATTTTAATTGTCCATGGTGGATAACTTTTGCTAGTGTACGAACGTCCTCTTACACAATGAACTAGGTATCTAGCCTTAGGATCAGATTTTTTCATATGCAATGTTTTTTAGAACTAGACCAGTGATTGAACTAGTGAAAGAATTGATTTACCATTCATTGGTTCAACCCTGATTGAACCAGGGTCAAATAGACCATTGGTTGAGGACAAGCGGTAAAATTTCTTAATTATTGTGAATTGGTTAAAAGGGCCTTATACATAGGAGCCTGGGTAGTATAGTTTTTCTTTTCATTAGATAATGTAGAGAACTTCAGCTCTGGAACTTCCATAGTAAGTTTTTTATTTGGGGTCCGTGACACTTCAATTTGTCAATGAACATAACAATTATTTATTTAGCATTGTATGTATATCTCCATGGCAGCCCCTGAATTATTTTAATTATACTCATGTTTAGGTGAAGGGATTTGTTACCAAAATGGAGGAATGCATGGGAGCTTGTGATTGCATCATTACAAAGGTTTGATCGCACAATCTTGACTAAGTTTTTTGTACCTCATTATGACAGCAGTTGATGGGTTTTTCCCTTTTGTAGGCGGGCCCAGGGACAATTGCAGAAGCCCAGATCAGAGGCCTCCCTATAATTCTGAATGATTACATTGCTGGACAGGTATTTTTGGTTATATCTATGATTCCTCAATCTAGTGATTTTTGTACAAAAAATGCAGCTGATTCAATTGTGTCCATGGAGTAAATTTGAGGCTGGGTTCTAGAACTTAATGAGATATTGTAGCTCTTACTAGAGGCTAAGTTGACAAAAATAAAGAGATGAAAGGAATCTTTCTCAAACTGTTTGTAATGCATCCACTATTTTCTACTATAATTAGTATTTTAAAAAGAAATCTCTTGAGTGTATCTTGCGAAAAATCAAAATTTTAACTTGTTAAAGTACTCTTAAAAATAACTAAATGCACTCTAGCAACCTAAAAAAGACTTGCTAAGGAACACTTGTTTTTCAAAAGAAGTAGTTTTTGCTTTTGAGTTTACGTGATTTCTCTTCATGTTTGATTAAATTGTGTTTTCTTTCATTTCAGGAAGCTGGCAATGTCCCCTATGTGGTTGAAAATGGATGTGGAAAGTTCTCTAAATCTCCTAAGGAGATAGCAAAAATTGTTGCCGATTGGTTTGGCCCAAAAGCCTACGAACTACAACAAATGTCACAAAATGCACTGAGGCTGGCAAGGCCAGATGCTGTGTTCAAGATTGTTCATGACCTTCACGAGCTTGTTAGACAAAGAAGCTACCTACCAGAATATTCTTGTACAGCTTAACTGACACTGAGGGTATTTTTTGCACCATTTTTCTGAGAAAAATGTATGAGGCAGCGAGATATATATCACTAGCAGAAATTCCTGTATTTGTCTTCCATCATCATTTTTCAGATGCTCTTATGAAAATTTTAAAAGTTCTGAACGTTTCTTTCTTGTCATATCAATTCTTTTCACGTACAGATACATGTTATTTAGTAACCTTACTGTGAAAAAGTGGAGAACAACTTGCACGCAGCATCTCTTTACATGTCACGCAAGGATTGACTTTGAATATTTTTTTTCTTGTTAGTACTTAAATATTAATAAATAAATAAACAATCTTGAAAATAATTTTTACTTTTTATATATCTATTTAATAAATCTTTACACATTATCATCATTTAGTCTTTAGACTAGATTGCATTCTAATGATAATAGATAAGAAATTATTGTCAAGAGATTCAAGTTATTTTTAAAAAACATGTGATGAGTTGTTTGGTAAGGTTTTGAAGAAATTAATGTGAGAATAATTAACTTGTGATTCTTTGTTTCTCTTTTCCATTCTTTACTATTTTTAAACTTTGTTATGGTTAATAAGTAACTTGAATTTTATTTAATTGGTACTAGAATATTTCTCATGTTTTTATCTTAAAAAGGTTTAAAAGGTAAATACACGCTTATGTGAAATTTGAAAATTATTATTCTTAATGTTGCTAAACTATAAGTTGAAATTTCATAAATAAAGTGGTGAGTCATAAGTTATTCATTTATTGAACCCTATGAAGTAGGTTCTATTGGTCAGTTCTTCTGACCTCTAGTGAAACTTATGGTGATCAGATCATATAATTCAAGTTTAAAAATGTTAATTTTGTTTCAAGAGATTAGTCAGAACACGAGTGAAAACTAGTTAAATGGACAAAAGAAATACCAAGGATGAGACTTGATGTCACTCGTCATGAAATTATATGGTTATTAAACCTTAACCTAGGATAAACTAAAATTAAAAATCAGAAAATTGAGATTAGTTAAGAATATTCTCTTACATAATTGAGGAGGGACGAGAGTGAAAACATTAGCTCTAAATCCACGTAGAAATGCATTTACTCGAGTACTTATGAATAAAGTAAAACTAGTAAAATATATATAAGAACCAAAAGATATAGGTATCTCCTATTGCAAGAAAACTATATTGGTTTAATGTAATTTTGTTTTTGCTAATAAGTAAATTTTTAACTATGTCATTATAACCCAAAATATGTAGAAAAAAGATTATGTTTTATGATTGAATTTTGATAACCTTAATTGATATTTCCCCATATGGATAATCATATCTAATTATTTATATGCAATTTACAATATAGAACTATAGATAATATGGTATACATTAATAACTTTTACAAAACAAAAAATAGACTTAGATTTTACTTCGCCCTCACCTAAGAATATCCATAATTTTTTCATGTCAAAATTTTGAAAAATAGTCTGACATTCACTGCAAGAAAAATTATTATTACCATAGACAATTTTCTTTTGGGTAACATTTAAGTTTCCAAATTTTTTTTTTCGTAGGTAATAATCATCTGACATTCACTGGACGAAAATATATGGATAGTTTGAGATGAAGAAAGTAAAATATGTCTATTTTTGCATTTTATAAAATTATTAATGTATACCAAGTTGTTTGTGGTTCTATATGATAAATTGTAGATAAATGACTAGATATAGTTATTTGGATAGGAAAATAAAGTCATCCAAATTCAATCATAAAACATAATTCCCTCTTAATCTAATTATTTGCATATTTGGGAGTTGTATTGATATAGGTAAAAATTCTCTAAGTTATTAGCGCAACAAAACTAAATTAAATCAATCTAATTTTTGTTGCAAAAGGAGATACTTACCTCTTTTGGTTCTCCAAAACATTTTACTATCCGATATCAATGTTTTACTTTATTCACAAGTGATCAAAGCAAATGAGTCTCTACATAGGTTTAGAGTGCAGGTTTCCACTTCCATTTTTTTCCCACCCCTCTTTAAATACACAAAGAAAAATTATTTTCAACGGTCATTCTGAAACAAAAAATATTATTTTCAAACCTCAATCGTGTGATAAATTGAAAAACATAGAATTCATTCTTAACTGGAGAGATGACAGAAAAACCAATTTCAGTGGTAGTTCAATTTGAAGATGTCTTTAACGTAGGCATAATCCTAAACGAATCCAACTATGACGTATAGTCACAACTAATGGAGATGCACATTGTAGAGAAGGAAAAATTGTCCTACATCCGTGGGAAGGTAAAACCTCCAATAGAGAAAGATAAGAGATATGAAAAATGATATGCTGAAAATAAAAAAGTGAAAAGATGGCTACTGATGTCCATGAAGCCAAAAATCATGAAAAAGTATCTTCGCTTACCCATTACCCTCGATATTTGGAATGCTTTGTCAAAGAAATTTTATGATGAAAGTGATGAGCTACAAGTGTTTGTCCTGAATCAAAGGGCATTCACTATAAAACAAAATAATAGAACCCTAACTGAATATTATGGGGAGTTGGTTGAGATTTTTAGGGAATTAGACCATCGTGATAAAGTAGTCATGAAGGACCTTGATGATGTGAAGTCATATCGCAAGTCCATTGAAATATTGAGGGTGCATATATTTCTTGCTGGACTAGATGATGATTTTGAGCAAGTTCGTGGAGAAATCTTGCGCAAAGAAGTGACACCTGATTTAGAAGAATGTTATGCATTGATCCGGAGAGAGACAATCTGGCGAACAACGTTGAAAACAGAAGATATGATTTATGATTCCACAGCTATGATGACAAGGAAGCAAGCGAAGCAATCAAAAGATTCTGAAAAAGGTAACTACAAGTGTACTCAGTGTAATACAGATGGACACACCAAGGAACGATGCTATGAAATCATAAGATACCCCGAGTGGTGGGATCACAGTCGAGCATCGAAGAAGAATTCAAAAAGAAATCTAACTGTTGCTGCTTTAACTGCCATTGACAAAAAGGACGACAAAGACATGATGCTTGCTACAACCGCAGGTAGTGATGATTTTGTTGAAAATGCAGGGATATTATGTCAAAAGATTTTGATCATGATTCGAGAACAAATGACTTCAAGATTAGAAGACTCATACTTCATTTGTAATCGTTTGTAATAACTCTATTTAGTCAACTTGAGTCTGTAAAAATAGAGTCTGAAACAACCATTACTTAGTCTGTCCACAAAAGGTTCATGTTTTCTAAAAAAATGCATTGTGATAATCGATTATCACTTGGGATAATCGATTATCCAATTAATCTGAATTCTGAAATTGGCTCTGTGATAATCGATTATCACTCAAGATAATTCGATTATCCTGGACAAACTTTTGTTTTCTGATAATTAGCTTTGTGATAATCGATTATCACTTAGGATAATCAATTATCTATGACAGTTATGAATTTGAAATTCAAATTTTAACCTAATTTTCGAAAACTCTAAACCCAACACCCTAAAAACTCTATTTAAAGGTCCCTCATGCTCTCTGTAAAATAACCTTTTTGATACTCAGAAGTTAAGAGCTGTGTTTGCTGAGAGAACTTTGAGTAGGAAACAAAAAGGGGCTTTGAAAACCAAGTGTGGGCTAGAAGCGATAAGAATCATTGAGTGAGTTTCTCAGTGGATTGAGTGTTGTGTTGTCTCTAGGAAACCTGTCTTCATCCTTTGTGGCTTCAAAGGAGGTGTTCATCTCTTGTGTGACTCAAGAGATGTGTTTTCTAATCTTTTCTATTTGTAATCTATTTATCTATTTAAAACATTATTTTAGTGACTGAGTTAATCCTCTTTTAGAGTGATTAACAACTAGACGTAGGGTCTTTTGATCCGAACCAGTATAAAATACTTGTGTGATCTTCTTGCCTTATCTCTTTACTTTTCAAGTGCTCCATTACATTATCTTTTAATCGGTAAAATCTTGCAAAAATTTTTAAAAGGGCTAATTTTTTATAAGAAACCAATTCAACCCCTGAAAGCAACAAGAGGAAGATTGATGACAATGTGAAACATGTCCCTACATTCCTAATAGATGATTTTAATAATGATTCAAGTCTACAACATTCAAGATTCAAGCAAACCCAAGATGATTCCTGAAGACTAGATAGAGTCTTAGAATACTGGATATGGAGGTACAAGTTGATGAAGTAATATTATGCATAAGCCTCAAAAGCACAAGTGTGATAAAATTTCATAACATAATATTTTTCACTGTCATAATTAATTATGATGCATCAGAAATGAAAAAACGATTTTCTCTATGTCATAATTGATTATACTGGTAACATAATCGATTATGACAATTCAAATTCAAAAATATATCTGTTTTGAAGAATAAATGTTTTTGAATATATTCTGATTTTTATCCACGAAAATATTAATGTCCAACGACCATTTTCTGATGCTATTTTTTTATTTAATTAAGTTTTGATGAAAAATAAAAAATATACTATTACAGAATTCAAAAATACAATTTACATTCAATCAGTTTTGAGAAAAAAATTCTGAGCAAGGCAAAATAGATATTTTACATGTTTTGAGAAAATCCTCTTCTCCATTGTCTACTGTGCTTTCATTGTTAATTACACTTGTTCTTGGAGGTTGGGATTTGATGAGTCATTATATTCCCGTATTTTCTTCCCTTTCTGAACTTATTTTAATTAGTGTTTTGAGCTTAACTTTCTATTATTAGTGATTTTTTATTAATTGGGCTTCATTGGGCCAATAATTTAGATTTTAATTAATTTGAATCTATTTGATCTAATTTTTGCTCATTATTAATTTTAGGACAGTTTAGAGCAATTTTGGACTTGGAAAATTGGGTCAAATGTCATATTTTATTTTATATGGGTAATAACATTGGTTCACTATTTTATTTATCATTTTTTCTACTGATCTCCGAAAATCATGATTATGAAAGAATTATAAACTAGACACATTCAGATTTCCATAGGATCCAAAATCATT